TTGGTGTGATAGTGATTATAATTAATATGTGATTATAAAGAGGGTTTTTATATTTTAAAAAATCAGAACTAAAATATTGTGTGCTTATAAAGAGGGTGTGATTATATAAGGTGTGATTGTAGAGAGGGTTGACTGTATATATTATTATTTTATTTATTAAAACTTGTTCAGAACATTTTCCTATATAATATTATATGTGTCCATAATATAAAATACTGAGATTCACAATAAACTATTTATTAATATATTTTACAATTAATTCACTGTCTAAAAACTTTGAATTAAATGCTTCATTACTTTGCATTGCTAGTGTTATATATGGATTTGCTAAAATGGTTGTCATATAAGTTACCTGAGAAGTTTCTGTAGTATTAGGCTACTGTTAAATATGAATATTATGATAGTTATCAATATTTAGCTTAAGTATATTTCTTAAATACTACTTAAGAGTATTTTTTACATAATCATCATATGTATTAGACATTTGTTTTACGATCAATTATTTTTGATGTCATAGTTGCTCAATATTTTCAATATTATTCAAATCTTTGTTACTTGTTTCAGATGAATCTAGATAATATGCTGATTTAAATTAAAATAAGTTGATTTTAGTATGCTTCAATGAAGTAAACAGATAGTAGATGAAAATCATTATTTTCTTCATATAATTTATTATTTGATTATTATGTTCAGAAGGTCGAGTTGCTAAATAAAATTGCTGTAAAAAGTTCTTCAAGATAAGATCTTTCTTTTCTAATAATCTCATATTATATTAAATGTATAAACAGTTTTTTTTTCTCTATATACATTCATTCATAGAGAATTTTTACCATTCTCTTGATAGCTTCAGAAAATTTAAGGCTAAATTAGATATATTTATCTTCTCTTCTGAACACTTTGTTTAAATAAAACCTCTTTTTAATAGATTTCTACAAAACGCATATAGAAATAAATTATTACAGAATATAATACCTTCTATTCACTTTACTCTCTCTATACCATTATTTTTAACTTTCCTTTACTTTTCTCCTTTTAATGGTCAAAATTTGATCTATTCTGCATCTTGGCATTTGATATACTTCTTCTCCTTGGACATGTTGGGTTCTAAGGGATTCAAAGTATAATATAATTCTACAGTGCTGAAGCTTTAAATTTTACTTAGCCACCCATTTACCTCTCATAGTTAGGATAGGCTACACAAGCTCTTCAATAAAGTATTGTAAAACGTATAAATAATTCTTTAATAAATTGTTTAACATCTGTTCTAAAAATAGGTACGATCTCTCCTGTTTGCTCTGGTCAAGTGAATCATATTGTACTGGTTTTCTATCTATCTCACACTACGAGTTTTTTTCCGTCTTTTACTTTGTAAATTTTAATTCTCTGTTACAATTAGTCGATATAAAACAGCAAATGCGTTATGATATTAAATTCGCCTCTGTTTTTTTGCAGAAACGAAAGAGGTTTTAATATAAATTTAACTGGAGATAAGGATCGATTGATTAATTTATTTTTTTTGGTTCCCAATCAACTGACAGAAAAAATAAAGTCAATCTATATAACGCAGTAATATGTTGTAAAGTTTATAGTGTAATGTATATATTGCATTATATGGTACCTTTGCAATAGAAAGGGAGAAACTGCGGAAAAAATCAATTTTACTTTTATATGCCTTATATGATTTTTAGGTCAAAATATGTTTAGAATTTAGCATTATCTCATTTTTTATTTTATCCAGCCGTTTCCCCCTTTTCTATTGCAATAGGTCCCATAATCTCAACATTTATTGAAATTGAAAACGGCAATAAATATATACAGTCAGAACTCGATAAAACGATCCTCCCCGGTTTATTATAAAAATTTTTGAAAAAAATCGTTTTATCAAAATTTATAAATTTGATATAACGATTTTATTATGTTTTTATATAGAACAAAAAAATTTTAAAAAAATCGTTTAAACGAGAATTCATTAAGTGATCGTTATATCAAGAGTTCGTTATAACGAATTCTGACTGTATACATATATATATTTTTCTTTTTTTTTAATACAATTTTAGACAGGAAATAATAATTAAAGGATATGAGACAGGATATAGTAGCAAATTAAAACACGCAAACCGATATTAGTGACTTACTATGTAGTTTTAGTATATATAAGTATATATAACTACATAATTATAAATTAGATATACTAGATAATAAGAATAAACGTGATCAAATGATTAATCAAAGTTTACCCGGCATCATCTAACATTTTTTTAAATGATTAATAATATTAAATTTATAATCTAATGGTAACAAGATAGAGATAGAAGAAGGACTTATTATCGAACTTAATAATTGACATATTTAAAACTGTAAATCAATATTATGAGTTAACGATTAAACCAACCTCAAACTAAAAAAAAAAAATAAATAAAAATTAAATATTCGATCGCTATTCCTTGTATTAAATATTTACAAATTCATATATCACAGCAGATATCTTGAAATTCGGAAGTTGATGAATAATAATAAGATATTATAACCGAAATTGGAGAAAACAAAACGAGAAATATTTCCTTTGCATAGTTATTATATGATTATTTTGTTATTTATCAGCGAAATCTGTCTTCCAATTTAAAGAAATAATTACTTTTTTTTATTATTGATCCTCAAAAAAATATTGGATTCAATTTTTGGAACAACAATCTTATTTCTTAAATAGATATTGGTCTTCTAAAGAATTAAACGGATGATAAGTTACGGAAACTCTTTATTTGCCTATTTTTCAGCTGAAAATTTATATTTGTTGTTATTTAGTTGCAAAGTAAATGAATAAAGCCATAAATTAAGAAGGTTTATTAGTTTTACTAGGTAAAATTATTTAATTATGCAATCTTTTATTTTCTCTGAAAGAAGTCGAAAAAATAAATTTATTTTATTAATTCTTTAATTTAGCTATTTCTTTCCTATTTTCTAATTTCATTGAAAGAAGTATCGTTCTAATTAATACAAATTAGAACTTTCCTTTATTTCATAATGGTAAAAAAATATAAAACTGTTATTTTGCAAAATATAAGTATATATTGTAATGGAATGTATATTGGTAAGTCATAAATGTAAATTAATAATTTATTTTTGTGAGTTTTAGTATTATTATTATTAAGATTGAAAGTAGATAGTCTATTTACTTTTTTATTTAAGATTCGTCTCAGTCGCCTTATGACTAGCTTCGCTAGTGATATTGACTTCGCACACATCTTCCTTTTGCAAAAAAGTAATGCTTTGGTTACGTTATTCATATCCTTTATTTATTATTGTTAAAATTCAAAACTTCATTCAGTGGTTGCAAAAGAACAGGAGACTAAAGTAAAAGAAATATAAACCAGATATAGTAAACTTCAGCCATTCTTTCGAGACATGACAAAGGATTTCCAAAACAAATAACGAATAACGATCGATAAAGCAATTTCCTTGCTATGTTTGTGATGAAATCTTCAACAATTACGAATAGCACTGAAATGATCTGATTTGGAATGTTCGTATTTCATTTAAAGCCGACAACGTTTTCGTGAATCTGATGGAGGTTGACTTTATGAATAATTTAGAGACCATATAAATAATTATACGTCTCATTTTTTTTTATAAATATTCAAAGGGCTTCAAATGTATTGTGATAAAAAGTAGAGAACGGTCAAAGCTGATTATATATTTGTATAATCAAAGAATATGAGAACTAATAATCAAAAAAAAAAAAAAAAAAAAAAATCCTAAATTTCATTTTTGAAAGAGCCTAGACTCTGGGTATAGACCCCTTTTCTCAAATATGAGTGGTTCAAAAAAGGATTCATACATTTATTTTGGAAAATATTTTACTACTTAAAATAGAAAATTTTTTGTACTTTTAAATATTAAATATGAAATGTACAGCGTTATGTATTTTATACATTTTTTTATTGGATAAAAGTTATTTAATTTTTGCCAATTACATTTTGTATGAAATTTTATTAAAAAAAAAAAAGGCATCGTGACAACCTGTCAAAATGTTCTAACTGCAAATCGAAAACAATTTACATGATGTTTTCGGGCGGAATTATATTAAATGTAAAAAACATAAGCATATCTTGCTTATTTTCTTAATATAATAAATACTATAATAAATACTACTACAATTTTTTAGAAATTTACTTTACACCGACTTTATTTTAAATTTTTATTGGCATAGCTTTTTTTAAAATTTTTTCAAATTATAAAAATTATCAATATTATATAAATTTTTATTTTATATATTTTATAGCGTTTTTTAAGATTTTCAATAAATAAATGTACATCGAACTAATATAAATTTTAAACTATCAAAAAAGCACATTTAACTTAATAACGTTATAAACCCACCAAACTTCTAATCCATGTTCTAGCTTTATCAACCATAAACATTTCTTTCTTTTCACCCACCCAATTTTTAATCCATTCTTTAGCTTTATCAATAATAATTTTTTCTTTCTCTTCATCTCCAACCATTTTCTTTAAAGCATTTACAAGCCTTTTCATGACACATTTCACATTCATCCTTAAATTTTTCAAATAAAACAACTTCAAGATAAGCTATAGCAATACAAGTAGTTAATATTTCTTCAAATTCTTCAATATAACCTGCTCTTTTGATTTCTCGTATTAAATCAAAAAAATCATTTACATTATTTTTATAAAAAAAACTATAAAATGATGCGTTTGGCAAGAATTTACCATCAAATGATTGTAGACTTAAAAATTCATATAGATTTACAGTATGTGGTTCTCTATGTTCGACTACAATTTCTCGATTGTCGGCCGCACTAATTGAAATAATAATAAATCAACAAAATATTCAATCGCATATATCACATGAAAAATTTATTTCTGACCTATTTGAAATTGACAATGACTTTTTTCCAACTTTCTTTGATGCCATCTTTAGCACCGGTGCGGAAAGTTCATTTACTGTGCTTGATCTTTTTGCAAATGAACCTGCAAATGATATAACAAATAATATCAGATAAATTATTTAATATTAAAATATGCCATTTTGTTTTTTTACTAACGTGGCGAAAAACTTCGCATTGACACCGAAGATCGAAGAATACGATATTGATGAGGAACTTGTCTTTTCTGTGAGATTGTCTGAGCTTCAGATACAACTTCATTATTTCTTTCGTCAATCGCAATAAAACTACAAAATAAAGTAAATAATAA